TGACACGCTTGAGTCCATCGATGATGCTGCCACTTGGTGGTTGGTGGGTCTGATAGAGACATGTGGGACCCTTGAAACTGTGGTTCTTAGATGTCCTTTAAGCCTGGAACTGAATTCTCCCCCAGGATCAACTTTCAGTCAAATAATAGACAGGATGTGAAGTAAATGAAGTCCTGGTGTGGTGCTGTAGGATAAGCACTGGACTGCTAACCATAAGGCCAGAAATGTATACCCACTAGTTCCACCTTGGAAACCCTCTAAAGGATCACTATGGGTCAGAAATGAGTCAACAGCACTTAACAACAACAACATGAAGCAATGATGATACCGAGGAGGAACGTACTCCTCAGTACAGTCAAGTGTATCAAAAGGGTAAGATCTGCCCCCATACCATGCTCAGTAGGCAGGAAGGGGCAGGACAAAGGGGCAAATGGAAGTGGGCAACCCAGAGAGTGCTGTCACATTGAGGAGGCTGCAATCAATGTCATGAGGAAAGTATCATTGTTGGGTGTATAAATTGCTGGATAGAAAATGAATTTGCTCTGTGAACTTTTATCCAAACTACAACAAAAACTTAAAAAAAAAAATTAAAAATTGAAACCAAACTAAATAGCCAATAATAGGTAAGTGAAAAACAAAAGATAGACGGTTGTCACCAAGACTGTGGTGATAGTTAATTGCAGAAGAAGTCAGAATTTTTTTGACCTAAAGTCTTATTGGGCTGATTGGCATCTTCAACAACTAGGTTATTCAGTGGACATCTTGCGACGAATTCATTCTGTAGTCCTAAGGTTTTGATGTTGTTGTTGTGTGTGCCGTCGAGTTGGGTCTGACTCATAGCGACCCTGTGTAGGAGCAGCTGGTGACCCTGTGGCTCCTAGTCCAATGCTGATCCTACAGCACCACACCAGAAGTCCTCTGTAAAGATTACAGTCTTGGAAATCCTACGAGGCTGTTCTACTTTGTCTTGTAGTATCATGGTGAGTCAGTGACTCAGTGGCAACAAATCTATGAGCAGAACTCCTTTTGGATCGCTGCCTTATCCCATTCCTCATTCAGATATCACTCAGAGTTGGCCCAAGAGCCGTACTGACTTGGATAGTGATGGAGACTGTACCAGCCGTCAGGATTCTGAATGATGCTTAGAAGTGCCCAAGTATTAAACGCTGTTGCATTTGATACTATTTGGGGGTGGGGTCCATGGGAGGGGCCCACAGGTGAGAAGGGTAAATTTGAGAGTATGTGTTAACCTAAAATGGATGACTTCTCTCAAATTGGCATTGACTACTGTATGTGTATAGCATGCTGCTGTAGCTCTGTGGGTTAATGCGCTGGACTACAAAATTGGTTTGAACCGCAAGGTCGGTGGTTCAAGCTCACCAACTGCTCCTTGGAAACACTGTACAGGGTTCCTAAGGGTTGGAACTGAGTCAACAGCACTTAGCAACAACAACAACATTGTGTGTGTAAGAAGACCTGGAAGTGTAGTGGATTACAAGCTGGGCAGCTAATTGCAAGGTTAATAGTTCGAATCTATGAGTCTCTCCGTGGGAGAAAGATGACGCTTTTGGTGGCATATAACCACCATAGTGTATTTGAAGTCCTCGTATGGTGCTATGGGATAAGCATTGGACAGTTGGCAATTCAAACCCACCAGCTGTTCCTCAGGAACCCTATACAGGGTCAGTATGAATCAGAACCAACTCAATGGCACTTAACAACAATAACAATATTGTGTGTTTAAAAAAAACCTAAAAACAAAAACAAGTCTCAACTCTCCTAACCTTTGTGTGACTTAGAAACTGTAGTAGAGTCATTTTGACATGCTGTTGTACAGTCAGTTTATATTTTAGCATTAGGAGGCTGGATTTGTCATTAGGTGGTGTTGAGTCTATTCTGACTCATAGCTACCTTATATACAATGGAACGAAACACTGTATGGTCCTGCACCATCCTCACGTTTGTTCCTGTGTTTGAACGTGAATTACCATAAGTATACATTTTTTTATTTCAAAAATTCAGACTACAAGTTCAATTGTGAAACTTTTACTTTGTTTCAGATTTGGATACAGATTTGGATACAAGCCATCGCTGGTCAAAAGCTTCTACTCTCTGTAGCTCATGATTGAAATGAAATAATTATCTTTTACTAAGAGTTCCTGTGAAAACTGTCTAAAATATATTTACAGTAACACTCTTGCAAAGTGTTATTCTTTTTTTGTTATTAGAGATTTAGAATCTTTAATGCCTAAGCTTTGTACAGCTGTAAAAACAAGCAACCTGTCAGTCCTCAGTAATGTTCTGAAACAACTCACTTACTCTCATTTGCTCATTTCACTTTTAATTTTGTGTTTTAAAATAAATGGAATAAATCTCATTACCTAGCTCCTTGGAAAGTTTTAGGTATTGTCTAAATTCGTAAGAGTAATTTTCATGAAAATTTTCCTTCTCAAAATTTCAATGTGAAGATCATTGTGCCCTCTCTAACAAACTTGGATTACAGAATCACAGTATTGTCTGAGTGGCCACAATCTGATTCCATATTCAGTGGAACAAGTCTACCAGAATATAAACTGGGAATCCCAGATTACATGTGTATAAGAGAAGATGGCTATGTGGCAGTGACTATTCATATCTTCTTTTGGTATGAGTGCCATCTCAAAGGAATTAGAGATCATTGTTAAAAACTGAAATGCAGGTACAAGTAATCATATATTGCTTATTCCCAAATAATTTCTTTTCCTAGAATTGGAAATACGTAAGAAAACCCAAGTTCATCAGGAAAGTTCAAGTTCATAAATGGAACATTGGTGTAGTGGGCAGAATGGACTCCAAA